TATGAATGCCGCTGCAAGTTAGGTGAGTAATAGTCAACAAAAATCTTGGTGTTACATTGAAATAGTGTATAAAAATCGAATAAATTGATGTTATTGTTTTAGGTTTTTATGGTGAAATGTGCAACAAGTGTATAGCATTGCCCGGCTGCCAACATGGTTACTGCAACAATAGTTTCGAATGCAAGTGTTTAGAAGGCTGGGACGGCATATTCTGTTCAGAACGTAATGATGATTTTTTATTGAAAGTTAAGAAGAGTGTGGACGGTGCATTAAAATTATCTAAATAATTTACATGTTTTATTTATGCGCAACGTATTAATAGCGGTTTGCCACGAAGAATGTCATCCGAGTAAAGGGTATTGTGACTGGCCAGGAGAATGTAGGTAAGCTTAATTGACTTTGCATAATTATTTTTACTTATGTGTGGTGTAGCTAAACCATTTATTATCTATACATTTTAAAGAAACGTATGAATAACTTTTTTAAATTATATTAATTTCAAGTATTTGAATTTTAAATATTTCTTTTTGCAAAAATCGACAAAAATTTAGAAAAAATGTTAAATGGAAAATAATTTTCTGTAGATAAAATTTATTTATCAACAAAATTTTTAAAAATATAATATTTATGTAGATACTTTTTATCTATGTTATTAATGTTATGATGTGTTAATAAATATTCAATTAATTGGTTAATTTCTAAAAAATATTTAAATTGCATTATTATTAATGTTTTCGAGTTTTAACTATAACTATGGCTATTTTAAATTATGATATTAAGTTATATATTGAAAATAATATGTAACTTGCAAGTTAAAATTATTCGAACTGTTATACATAAAATATACGAAAATTCTATTAAAAAGGTTAGTTGCTAATTTATTTAAATAAACACAAGATGTATTAATATATGTTTTTTTTTTTATATTATTGTATCTGTTGAAATAATGCAGGTGTCGTTTAGGTTGGACTGGTGATCTCTGCAAAGAATGTCAACCATTACCAGGATGTATGCATGGTACATGCTCAAAACCATTAGAATGTAAATGTGAAAAGGGATGGCAAGGAATTTTATGTCAGATACGTAAGTAAAATACGTATGTGTAATATAAAAACGGGGTTTTCTATCTTGAATATATTTTTTTACAGCTGTATGCTCTGAAGGTTGTCATCGAGATCGAGGGTATTGTCGTAAACCAAATGAATGCAGGTATGTATTTAATTAATATCTGTGTTAGTTTACACACTACAAAATAAAACATTAATTCATTGATGGTTATAGGTGCAAAGTAGGTTGGTGGGGTAAGAACTGTACCCAATGTTTCGCATACCCAGGCTGTGTTCATGGTACGTGTAACCGTCCATGGGAATGTAATTGTAAGCCGGGCTGGGGTGGTATGCTCTGCGACCAAGGTAGATATTTGTGTTTAAATACAAATAACAGCTTAATTAACTCCATTTTTAGGATTATGAGTAATTATTTTTAATTTTTTTTAGAATTGAAATACTGTGAAACTAACAATGTCACATGTCAAAACGGAGCTACATGTGTAAGTCTTCCAGAAGAAGATGGAAATTATAGATGTCTTTGCGCTGATGGATACATAGGACGAAATTGTGAAGTAGATAAAAAAAAGGTAATGTTTTAGTAAGCCACCAAATCACAACTTAACTATAGCTATAAGGAAAAACTAAATGGGTATAAACTAATAGATTTATATAAACATGGATGCCCATTTTAGGAAGGGGAGAACAAAATACAAACAATTTTAAAATGAAAGCTAAGTAAAATTTTAATGTTATTTCAACATATAAATTTAAATATGCTATTTTTTTATGTATTATAAATTTATGTTCGTTTTGTTGTTTATATAATTTAATGTATTTTAATTAGTAGGTATATTAATAAAGATAGTAAATCAATTCACGTAATAAAATGTATTATTCGTTTTTAATAAAGAAGAACTGAAAATGTCTTCGTTTTATTCCAAGCTTAATAAGTTGGATATGTGAATAATATCGACATTCTGAAGAATAAAACTATGTTAATGAATAAAAACTTGTTTACGATGATCATTCATTAAATTATAAATTCTTGTTATTTTTTAAAGGGGTAGGGGGAGGGATTACAAAATGTATTGAAAGGTTTGAAAATTTAAATAAAATTTGATACTATGTACATATTTTATTAATTAAAAATATGATATGCTTTAAATTATTTTACCAATGTTATACCTACCTTATAATATATTCTTTTATAGGTTGAGATAGTGGGGTTAGTACCTCCTAAGCCTAGCTTATTACTTCTTAAGTCAACAACAACTACACCTTCGACAGTGTCCGAAGATTTATTATTAGAGGGCGATGATGAATATGAAGAAGAAACTACAAAACCTAATTCTTCCATAGTTTCGTTGGTAAATGAAAATGAATCCTTAAATGAAACAATTTAATATTGTCAAGACATTTATTAAAGCAATATGTCAAATAATAATTTATTCATCTTAAAATTAGTTTTATAATTATTTTTATTTATTTATTTATTACATTGCTTTTGTACTGATATAATTAGTTTAAATAATATATTTTATATTTTATAGTATGATTTGTCTAATTAATTTTGAAAAACAGATCCTATATAATGGCCCCACATGACTAGTGTTTAAATCACTACTTATCTTAATTGGAAACACGCGTACGACGTGTATAATATTTTTTTAAATTATATCACATTTTAATTTCATAAGTAAAAAAAAAAAATGTATTTTTATTATTATTAAATTATACCTATAATACGTAATTAAAAAATTTTATAATAAAATAAATCACAATAGGTATATTAAAACATATATCTCTACTTAGTAGCCGTATTCCAGATTTTCTAAATCGTTTGGGAACAGTTAATTTTATAATTTTTATATTTCGATGCATCATTGACCTTACTATTAATATAATAATAAATCCTTTTATACATTTTGATGTACACAAAAACAAGTTCTTAGTTGTCAGTTTTAAAAATAGGTATCGGGTCACTTCCCTGTTTGTCATTTCCCCGTAACCACTTTCCTCGTAATACATTTTCCCGTCCGATACATTTACCCATTCATATTATATTTATATTATTTTGTAAGGATAATAAAATTTAAAAATCTTAATAATAATTACAATCAAATATTTTAATGTTGTAGTTCTAAATTATGAACGATTTCAATTAAGTAGGTGCTCATCTAGATCACGTTCGTCATATGTGGACACAATATCTTCTATACGTCTAGCAACATCTTGATATTTATTTTTTTTTGCTGGAGGTTTTTGTCCAGTGATAAATTGATTAATTAGTACTTCAGTTAAACGTTGTTCTTTTTTTAAAAACCTCAATAAGTCGCCATATGGACTATGGTAGGATTAGAAGCAGCTAACAAAGACGAAAATGCTTTATGTCAACCTTCAATATTATTGTTTGTTTTTGACATACTCGCTTGTGTAGTATCATATTGGTTCCATAATTTTAAATCGAACATCGAAGGTCATCGTTTATTTCTTTTAGTTGGTCTCCTAATAATTGTCTACAAAAAACTGTCGGGACATTAATTTTTCAAATTTCTCAAGTATATGTGACACAGGAACAAGCTAAAGCCATTAGCTGTTTTATTTTTAAAGCAAAATCTGCATCATTCGTATATTTTTGACGTATTTCTGGAATTAGTCTTTTTTCAAAATCAGTCATTATACTAATTGGACTTTTTTTCCTAAAATCAAAAATACTCGGTAAACTCAAATTTAACTTTTTTTTTATGTTATAGGTATAAGAATAAAAACTAATGGCAATACCGCATTATATTTTATTGCATGTATAGATAGAATTTGAGTAAAAAAATGCGGTGATGATTTAAACGTACCATCTATAAACCACAATGACTTAGACGCTAACATAATTAAATAATTATTTTTGAAAATATAATATTCTATTATTGTCATTCATGCGACCATGCCGTTATTATTTAATAGGGATTTCTCGTTGTTGAAGGTAATATTATACGGTTAAAAAAAAATTAATTCCGATAACATGTTCCAGTTTGATTTAAGTGTATTTGTCAATGTCTTATTGTTAAATTGTTTTCACTTTTTTCATTGCATTAATTGATGGTAAAGCGGTAGATGTTATGTTTGAGAAAAATATGACATTTGAGTAACAATTGTCAATTAGTTGTGGAGTTGACTCACTTTGATTTTTTATTTGGGAAATGCATTTTTTAATATCAATTTTTTCACCATTCGGTGTATGATTATGCTCATCTTTATGTACTCTTCCTCGGCAAATATCAGTATTGTATCTGAATAATTTCCAATAAGTTTTTTCTTTTTTCATACAATATTTTTCAAAAATGTATCCCAAGTACACTAGTAAGTCTTTTTCACTTAAACTTTCACGTAATTTATAGACATAGTAAAAACTTTTTATGAATTAAATTAAAATAACGCGTTATAACAATAAACAAAATTAATTTAACATCAAAATCAGACTGACGACTACACACCCGTTATCAGATTATTATCTTCATTGCCGTCTAAATCATAGTTAATATTACAGATAATCCATAATGTGTGTTGATTATTACTTAACCGGCGTATTATTAGGGTTTTGTACCGATAACAAAAAATATACAACAATAAATGTTTTATATAGTAAAAATATAGAAGTCAATTCAATTTAATATAAAGGACGATAAAACGTCGTATGGGGAAAGGTATTGACGGGAAAATTTCTTATGGGGAAGTGTCCATAAAACTCAAAAATATGTTGTTCACACAAGATATTATATTTCATCAACGTATTATATTTAAATAAATGAAATCGATAACGTATCTTTTAATTTTTAAAAATTATGGTTTTATGGTTTCCGAAGCCTTACAGTTTTAAATATTATATTTTTAAAAACCATTATAAATTACAGCTCTCAATAAAATGAAGTGCATTTATGTAATAACCGTACAAGTGAATTATTATTAATTAAGATTATTTTTTAATATTACAACAGTAATTTGAATTTAGTTTATCCAAATCAAGAAATTGTACATTAGTCCGGAGTTTTTATACAAAAGCTGACTATGAAAAATATTACATCCTCTTTAATATTTTTTGTCAACGGTAAAAAGGTACAGATAAACAATTATTTTTTTAGTCATAGACAAAATGAAAACCAATTTGAAAACATAAAATTAAATAAGTATGAATTTAGAATTACCATGCACTAAAGAATAAATTTATTGCGAGTATAATCACAAATTCTTGAATCAATACATTACTTAAATATTTTGGATTAATACCCTATCACTATTTATAAACAAAAATCGTAGTTTACGGATTTTTATGTATAAAATATCTATATTATTTATAGTTTTTTTATTCGAATATATTAAAATATTCTAAATTTTGAATTATAATTTAATTATATTTTACGTTGTGACACCATTATAAATATTATTTCATTGAAAATAAATATATTAGATTGTCTTCTATTATTTCATATATGCAACATTACAACTAGTAACCAGTGCAGTATATCATGAGTTCGTTATTAATAGTTATATATTGAATTTAAACTTTTAACTGTTATATAGAATGTTAATATATTGTGTGATTTTCTTTATTTATTTAAGAGTTATAAATATTGTTTTTTTTTACATACGTATATATGAAGATGAAACACTGTTATTTAAAAAAAAATATTTTTTAAGCGGTTGATCAATTTTTACTATATACTAGTTACTTATATAAGTCTATCTACTTTTTAAATATATTTACATTAGCTAAATTGAACTTTGTAAAATAAAAACTTATTGAACTTTATTAAACAGGTTGTAGAAGATAAAGCTGATCCACATTGGACTTTACTTTACTATCTAAGAAATAAATGTATCCTTTTTAAAATATTGTCTTAATTTAAAAAATAAGATTGGAAAGTGGGTACTGCTTTGCTGTTTATTAGTTGTCAAATGGATTACTATTATGGGTGTATATGAATTCAATGATACATGATGTATTATACATCAATGTTATAGGTACGAAAAAAGATTCTGAGCGAAATGGTTTGTTAGCCTATATCACTATATTTGTTTTTTTGATACCCATAACTATTGAAGTCACTTATTATTTTATTAGTATTAAATTATTATAATAAAAATAATGTTAGGTTCTATCACTAGATAGTCTCCCTCGTCATATTTATCATTGGTGTGTATAGTTTTCGTTTTATAATTATTTGCTTATCATATCTTGCAGTATAGATTGTAAAAATTCCTTTTAATAATAATAAAAAAAATATATTATAATACTATATTTATACCACATTTTATCAACCTATAATAACTTAATAACCTATGTAACTCAAAACTTAATAACATCTTACTGTAAATACAATAAAACAGTAAAAACAGGTTCATAATATATAAAGATAATATCTAAAAATAAATCAAAAATGTTATTGTGCATAAAAAAATTCATAATTATTATGATATATTACGTAAAAGTTTTAGGTTTCCAAGAAAAATATTTTATCATTTAAATAAGTAATTTCATCCAAATTTAAACTTAAAATATCTATGAAAAATAATTTTTTTTATAAATTGAATGTTTTTAGTATGAAATCAAATTTTCAAAACTTAGATATAAAAAGGAAATTTTTATAAATTTTTTACTACACAATAGTTGGTATTTTTTTGCGGTTTTGTCAAATTTTGTGAAAATTCTAACTTAAAATGCATTAAAAAAAAAAAAAACTGTACCTATAATATGATTTTAATATTTTTTAACTGATATGAAAATAATTTTTATGGGATCTTATATTAAATTTTCAAGAATTTTGGGCCCAACAAATAATTTTTGATCGGCATTTAAAGAACCCCCCCCCCCTCACAAAAACCCCCACAAATTTTCAATGCCTATAAATAGCTCAAAAGAATTTAAAAAATGTTGAAAATTTTATCGTATTATAAAAATGATGATATAAACATTTGGTCTATCTATGAGTAATCGTTTTTGAATCACAAAAAAAAATAAAAAATAAATCGATTTTGTTTTAAATTGGATTTGTGTAAAAATTCTCATTTTTCCTTAATTTTTTGTTTGTCTTTTCTAATTATGAAAATAAGTACTGAGCATTTTTATGTGTGATCTCTTTAAAGTATAAACTAAATCCAATTTTATATCCAAAACCTAAGCATTTCATCGACAACTCATTGTGTACCCACAAAAAACATACATATCATTGTAAAATCAATATATCCATCGCATGGCTCAGAATCTAAAAGAAAACGCCATATCACTATCATAAACATCAATAAATGATGCTAATTAAAAATTCCTTAAATTTACTACTCCAGTGAGTTTATGTGGAACTAAATTAGGATGTGCCGAAGGAGGATGTGGAGCTTGTACTGTAATGGTATCAAAATATGATCACATTAAGAAATCTCCAATGTATCCTTTGATCTACTAGAATAATATGAACAAACAATTTAAATCAATATTATACATAAATACAGATAGTGTGTACATTTTATACATTATACATAAATACAAATAGTGTGTACATTTTATACATTATACATAACGATTAAAGTTCTTTAATTAACTAAACTTTAGACATATATCTGTCAATGCTTGCTTGTGTCCTGTAGTCAGTTTACATGGATGTGCTATAATAACTGTTGAAGGCATTGGTAACACAAAAACAAGATTGCACCCTGTTCAAGAACTAATAGCAAAAAACCATGGATCACAATGTGGTTTTTGTACACCTGGTATTGTAATGTCTGTATATGCCATGCTCAGATCATTAGAAAAAACACCTGATGAAAACGACTTAAAAATTGCTTTACAAGGTAGTTTCAATTTTTTTAAATTAAAACGTTCAGACTGTTTGCTAACAATTATATTTCAGGAAACTTATGTAGATGTACAGGTTATAGACCTATTTTAGAAGGATTGATGACATTGACTACTTGTAATAAAATCTCTAATGGATGTTCGTTGGGAAATAACTGTTGTATGAAGACTAATACAATTGAAAATGTTAATGAAGACATGTCAAATTCATCTGAATTCTTACCAAATGATCCTTCTCAAGAACCAATTTTTCCACCTGAACTTGTAGTGAGAAACAAAAATAATATATGTTTAATTATTAACTATACAAGTAAATTTAACATATCTGCGTAGCTTACAAATGAGTTCGACAAAGAATATTTGATATTTAGAGGTAAAAAGACTACGTGGTATAGACCAACATCACTTTTGGAACTATTGGAACTTAAACATAAGTATCCCAATGCTCGGATAATTGTCGGGAATACGGAAGTTGGTAAAGTACATAAATATGAAAATATATATAGCTGCACGATTAATGTTTTAATATCATTTCAAAAATAGGAGTTGAAATTAAATTTAAAAATTGTCAGTATCCTGTAATGATACAACCAAATAAGGTGTCAGAGTTAAACATCATTAAAAAATGTGTAAAAGGATTAATTGTTGGAGCTGCGGTAACTATTGATAAATTAGAAAATGAATTAAAGAAACTAATTGATATTTTGCCAGGTAAGATGTTTAAATAATTTAATACACCATTATAAATATACCAGTTTTTAATTTGATAATTATAATTTGTCAGATTATAAAATTAAAATAATAAAATCCATAATAGAAATGATACCCTGGTTTGCAAGTAAACAGATTCGTAATGTTGCTGTAAGTGTACCTATCTGTTTTAAAACTATTATTTGTAATTAAGTATAGTAGTATGGATGTTAAATAATAATTCTAAATTTCATTTATCATTTTTCTAGTGTATAGCCGGGAATATTATAACGGGAAGTCCTATATCAGATTTAAATCCAATATTTTTAGCTGCTCGTTGTCAACTAAAAGTACAGAGTAAACGTATAATAATCAATTTTATAATTAAAAATATAGAAATGTTATAAATAAATTAATTAATTTTACAATAAATATGTTATTTCTAGAAAATGGAATAAGATTTTTGAAGATGGACAATACGTTTTTTACAGGTTATCGACAAAATGCTTTACATCTGGATGAGGTTGTGATAAATTTATTTATTCCATTTACGAAGAAAGTAAGCATTTGATGTAATTATTTAATTATATGACGTCCAATAATAGTTAATTCATAGTTATTAAAAAAAATTAACAAAATCGTTTTAGAACACATTTTTTAAATCGATTAAACAATCAAGAAGAAAAGAAGATGACATAGCCTTGGTAAATGCTGCGTTTTATGTAGAGATGTCAAATAATATAATAAAAGACGCAGAGATAGTTTTTGGTGGAATGTCAGCCACTGCAGTTATTGCTCAAAAAACTAAATCATTAATAATTAACAGTGAATGGTCAGAGTCTTTATTAGATGGTGTATATTTAGAGTTACTTAAAGACTTACCTCTGACATCAAATGCCCCCGGAGGAATGGTGACTTATCGTAAAAGTCTTGTTCTAAGGTGATCAATTATTTAATTATTACAATGATTTTTGCTATAGTATATATATTTTAAACAAGTAATTATATTTTTTAGCCTATTTTTTAAATTTTATCTTTACGTGTGCAATCAATTAAGTTCGACAATGAAAGATGTTCAACATTTAATTAATGACAAAAATGCTATAACACATATTTCTAAGTACGCACAATACTATAATATAGCCGCAAATTTTCCAAGTTCAAATGACGCTGTTGGTAAACCATTAGTTCATAAATCAGCTATACAACAAACTACAGGTAACACATCATTAGTAAATAAATATACAACAAATTAATAAAATTAAATATTAGTACCCTTTACTTTTACCAAGAAAATTATATTTAAAATTTGTACACAATAAAATACAATACCTATAATATTGGTACCTACAATCAAATGATAAAACATTTTTTTATGAAAAAATATAATATTTTTCAAAGTTGCTTATATAGTATTATATATGTATTTCATAGGTGAAGCGGTGTATTGTGACGATATACCTCGTCGTTCTGACGAACTTTATTTAGCCGTTAAAACGTCTATACATGCTTATGCTAAAATTATAAGTGTAGACTATACCGAGGCTTTATCACAACCTGGTGTGGTGACCATAGTTGATGAAAAAGATCTACCAGGAATTCGAAATATGGTCGGCATAACGCCAATCAAAGATGACTATATATTTGCTAGAGAAAAAGTACTATAATCAATTTAAAGTATTATAATTCGAGATTCGAACATTAAAATTAAATCTATTTCTTAGGTGGTAAATATTGGTCAAATAATCTGCGGATTAGTCGCTGTAGATCCAATCATCGCGCAGGAAGCAGTTAAATTAATCCATGTTCAGTATGAAGAATTAAAACCAATAATTACCATCGATGTATGTAAAATTTTAAATCATTATGATAATTTAATCAATTAAAAATATGATGTATGTCATACACATAATCATAGTTGTCTACTTGTTTTGTTCATATAAAAAGCCACTGCGATACTATAAGTGAACTAGTGAATAAAATCTTGACCAGAAATAATTTTAAAAATAAACCGGATTAGATAAAAAAATTATAGACTTTTGAAAGAATATAAATAAATTTATAAATAATAATTCTCAGACAAATTGATAGTAATCAACAGAATGAATAAATTTAGATTTTATGTGATATTTTTGTTGATTGTAAATTTTTACAGGAAGCTATTAAAAGTGAATCGTATTATGATGGCCGGTGTATCTATTTGGAAAAAGGATGTATTGATCAAGGATTCAAAGAGTCAAACCATAGTTTAAACGGTACCTTAAGAACTGGTGGGCAAGATCATTTTTATTTAGAAACTCAATGTTGTATAGCAATACCAATAAATGAACATAATGAGATAGAAATAATAAGTTCAACACAATCACCAAATGAACTGCAGGTATAATTATACGAACATTATACATCATAAAATCGTTTATGTTTTTTTTTTGTTTTAAAAATGCAGTTATTTTTAAACTAAAATATTACGTTTAAATTTTAAAATAAATTCGAATTGCTTCCTATTTTAAATAATAATTAAATATTTATAGAAATAATAACTTTAAGCATAATAATTAATATGTTATAAAAATATAATAAAGAAATAAATATGCATCATGTTATTAAATATTTTTGATGAATTACAATTCAATTTAATTGCCTAATATCTATATCCTGAAATTGAAAGCTTACAATTATCAAAATAGATTAAGCTATAATAATATTATTTGTGTACTTTAAAACATTAATTATATATTATATATGTATGTATTTAAATAAAAAAATAAAAATTAGAATTATTAAAACATATGATATAAAAATGTATGTATTATGTATTTATTATTTTAAATAATTATGCATTTTAAAATACCTAACCAATATTTTATGTTATGCATTTATACCTTTAGCATTTATAATTTATTTAAGTATTAAGTACAATCAAATCCGATAACAACATTATTTTTTATAAACTAAAAAAAATAAATACTATTGTAAACTTATAGATAAAAATAAAAAGTAAAAATATAAAATAAAAATAGTACAACCTAAAACAAATAATCTTTATCAATTATTACATTAGTTAATTTAATAACAAAAATGAAATTACTTTTTTAATAATATAAGTACATGCTATTGTTTTTTTTAAATGGCACAATTGACAATACTTTTTTTTAAGTTGAATGGTAATAAGTTGTATAATACTGGACGTAGGTAATCAATAAATATTTTTCTAAATTCTTTATATATGTATGGTACACTGTGTCACATGTTAAAAAAATCTCGATTATTTTATTATTTAGTTAAAACTTGATACACAATTAAAATAAAAATTTAAATTTGTTTAAAAATTATTTATTAACATTTTATTTGATCAGGAATGTATATCAAATTGCTTAGACATACCGGAAAATCGTGTAGTTTGCAAAACAAAACGTCTTGGTGGTGGTTTTGGTGGTAAAGAAACTAAAGCATTTACTATAGCAGTGCCATGTGCAGTAGCTGCTGTAAAGTAAGATTACATGGATGGAAAATTTAGTATTAGAAAATATTTTATTTTTTTTTTTTAGAACTGGAAAATCAGTACGATGTATGCTAGATAGACACGAAGACATGTTAATCACTGGTGGTAGAAATCCATTTTTATGTAACTATCGTGTAGGATTTACCGAACACGGAAAAATTCAGGTTTTGGACGTTTCTATATATAATAATGCTGGATGTTCCAGAGATTTGTCTGCAGCAGTAAGTACTTAAACATTTTTTTATTTTTATTGAGTATATACATACTATTATTATAACTAATTTATTAGATTATAATATTGTTATATTTATGTTTCTATTTTATAGACAATTGATAGATGCGTTTCTCATTTAACAAACACGTATCATATCCCTCATGTTAGAATATCGGGATATATTTGTGCTACAAATTTACCATCAAATACAGCTTTTAGAGGATTTGGTGCACCCCAAGGAATGTTTTTCGCGGAATCGATTATCGATCACATTTCTAAAGAACTGAATATCGATTCAAATGCAGTGAGAGCAAAGAATTTCTTCGTAAACGGGCATATAACTCATTATAATCAATTAATATCTAATTTTACCGCAAAAAATTGTTGGGATGAAGTATTGGAAAGATCAAAATATACCTTGAAGTCTAATGAAATTGAAAAGTTCAACAGGTATTCATTACCTGTATTATAGTTACACGTGTTACGCATATTATACTGCTATACCTATTATAATAGAATGTGTTCATTCATTGGAAAGTCAGTAAAAATTACAATCTTAGTAAAAGGGAGGCTATTGGTCATTTACAATTATATTACATTAACAAACTACATTTAAATTGTGCTGCATCATGAACTTTATTGACTTTCTAACTAATTGAAATACTGTATAAACATAATTAATAAAACAAACAATAATAATAATACACACACACACACACACACACACACACACACACACACACACACACACACACACACACATATATATATAACAGCTGTATAAAAACCTTGCATGAGTTATGTGTAGTTAAGATTATAAATTAATATTATATTCTTACAAACCTCTACCAGTGACATGAAATGCAAATGAAACCTCACGCGTTGACATAATAGATATAAAGAGTGATTATTTCGTCAAACATCACTCATTATTTTAAAATATTTTTTAACATTTTTGAAAATAGTTTTCTTGTCTAATTTCCAGTCAAAATCTTTTAAATATTTTTTTTTTACTTTTTTTAAAGACAATATAAATTTTCAATTTCATATTCTATAGTAAAATATTTTTTGAAGTATTTTGCTACTTAAAAATTCAAATTCAAACGAATAGTTTACGATTTATTTTATAATTATATTTAAAATTTTTAAGTAGAATTAAATGGTATGGGTATACTCCGCAAAATATGATCAACATGGTCTACTACTCCAGTTAACCGAACTTTAAATACTTATAACTCATAAACTAATCATTTGAAATTAGATTTTTATGTACCAAAATACTTCAAAAAATATTAAAAATGTATGTAGTCAATCAGAAAAATAAAATAATTTAAATATACAACGATAAAAAATATAGTAATCTTAAAAATGAATTTGTTTTATTTCGACTGAAAATTACGTAATAAAAATATTTTCAAAAATATTAATAGATTTGAAATAATGAATATTGTTTGGTAAAAAAGATGCCCTTGGTATACCACACTTTAAAATGAGAATAATCAAATTATTTAATTATAGTTAAAAAAAAATTTAATTTGTAGTTTTCTATAAATGAACAGGAGATACCCAATATATTATTAAACAGATGATTTTCAATACTTACTTTATTATATTATCTAGCTAACGCACCACTGACTCATATTATTGAAATTTATTTATAACAATAATTTTACTCAATACTCAAGTTTAAGTTAAAGTTCACGGGGATTTTTTTAAATTTTGACAACACCATTAAGTGCTATAATTGCTTTCGTTATAACAGATGGACAATAATATGTTTTATTTGTAAAATATTTTTTTTAACATTAAATTAAATAATCAAGAAATATATTTAAGTTTAGTTATGATATTATGAACTGTTTTGGTTGCTTTTTATTATAAAGTAGGTAATTATTAGAATTAAACAAATTGAAATTATCTGTATAGCTGCTGATAGTTGCTTTAATTATTTTTACATTTACTTTTTATAAATTATCATCTTTGGAATTCTTCTATTATTTTTTTTACAATTTTTTCACCAACCGTAAACCATTTATAAATAATACGGTTTTAGAATGAACCGATGGAAGAAACGAGGTATCGCAGGGGTACCCACAATGTACGGTATCGGGTTTTCGGGTGGTTCGAAGTTTTTGAATCAAGCTGGTGCATTGTTGCTCGTTTACATTGACGGATCCGTACTCCTGGCGCATGGTGGCGTCGAAATGGGCCAAGGATTACACACAAAAATGATTCAAGTGGCCAGTAGAGCCTTGGACATACCCGCTGAGTCGATACATATTAAAGATACCAGCACTGACAAAATAGCCAATGCGTCTCCGACTGCAGGCAGTTTTAGCTCTGACCTCAACGGGATGGCCGTTCTCGTGAGTATATATAATATATTATGTACACGTTTGTTAATAGTCTGAAATTTTTTGGAGGATAATTTATCATTTAGAGGAGACTTAACAACTAGGATTCCTCGTAATTTTGGTATGTTGCAGATACCGTGGTAAAATGTAATATTTTAGATACAATATATTAGCTACTGAGTATTGAAAGTAGATTTAAATTTTAATCTAATTAACGCGATGATTAGAGAAGGGCTACAGCCCTATTATGGTCTTAGTCCTCTCTGGCTATGCTGCTGACGCAAGTATTTGCATAGCTTATTTTTTTTGTTTACATTACGACAAAAGTGATAGGAAGGTAACATCATAATTGATATAGCATGCGAATTTCTTCCAAACCCATATATATATATATATATATATATAATAATGATGGTAAAATAATAAAAATGTTAAACAATTAGAGTTAGAGAACTAAGATGTGTAGGGAAAGTAAAAAAATATTAATGTATAATTAAAAAACAATGATGATGAATTTTATATCTATTTTGTCATAGTTTATATGTTATACTATAAATTTATTGTGTATATTTATTGTTCTATTATCGCTGTGACGATTGTGCTGTAGAACGCTTGCGAGATTGTTAAAGCTAGATTAGAACCAATCAAGAAGAGGAATCCTGGAGGTTCGTGGGCTGAATGGGTGAAGACTGCGTATTTTGAAAAAGTAAACTTGTGTGCTTCAGGATTTTACGCGTAAGTTTAGTGTCGCTTTCATTGTTTATTTTTAAGTAATACACGTGTCATTGATTTTTTTTAAAAACATTAAACTCGATATAATTAGTAATAAAATTATGATTCAATAAACAAAATAAATTCGTTCAACATAATATAAACTTGTAAGTCATTTACCTGTTAATATCGCCATTATATGTATGTGTTGTATTAGGTATTAATATTATATTATGTTATTTGGACTTAAGAATAAAAAATTAAAAAATATATGTATTTTTTTATAAATTTAATAAATATTATTATACACTTCTTACATACATATCGAGTTTAAATGAAGGTCATGCTCAGAAGTTAATGAAAATGAAAACTTTTAGGATGTAAAAAATTTCATATTATATGATATGAAACATATTGAAAATATCAATGTACAATGCATATCAACGTGTATGCGTATATTGTACAATGGCTTACTATAGATAATAAAAAAAAATAATCTTTGATTGTTAATACTCATCAATCGCCAATTAATTATTTATTTTGTACACGACTTATTGATTTTGATTATTAAATTAAAGGAATAATAATAATAAAATTATGTTTGGTAACCATGAAAATTAATTACTTATGTTTTGTTCGTAGAAATCACACTATAGGAACAACAACAGATCAAGGCACGGAAAACAATTATTTGTACTATACTAGTGGAGCAGCTGTTTCGGTGGTAGAAGTGGACTGTTTAACTGGTGACCATGAAGTATACAGGGTTCATAATTTCTACATTAAACAGGTTATTATTATCATTTTTTCTTTCTTTTGATCAGGTTTTAAGCACAGATATAGTAATGGACGTTGGACAGAGCCTAAATCCAGCAATTGACGTGGGGCAAATCGAAGGAGCTTTTATGCAAGGTTATGGGTTATTTACATTAGAAGAACTTGTATATAGTCCAAAAGGAATGTTATATACGAGGGGACCAGGTACATATAAAATACCGGGTTTTTCAGATATACCGAAACAGTTTACAGTTTCATTACTGAAAAGTTCAACAAATCCAAGAGCTGTTTACTCATCAAAAGTAAAAATATTTATAATTATATCAATAATATCTTCATGTTGTGTAGTATGATATGTATTATTTAGGCTATTGGAGAACCACCGTTGTTTTTATCGGCTTCAATATTTTTTGCGATTAAAAATGCCATATATTCAGCTAGAGAAGATGCTGGTTTCACAGGGTATTTTAGGTTGGATGTTCCAGCAACTGTGGAAAAAATTCGAATGTCTTGCAAAGACAATATTACCGAAAAGGTACATTTATCCTTAAAATGTTTAAATTACTAAACTTAAAGCAGAATATATATTAAATATGTTTTATTTTCTGCAGCTTGAAAAATATGAAACCGACGTATCTGATTCATGGAATATTATTGTTTAAGAAAAGATAAAAATAAATTAAATATACTTTTTATTAAGTAGGTAGTTGAATTATTTAAAAAAAAATTAAGGCTTGTACAATAATTTAAATACAAATACATTTTTATTTTTGTTTTTTCATTTTAAATATTAATCAAATCTTATTAATAATAAGTTTGTTAGTTAATCAGTTTTAAATTAGTTAAAATAGTTATCATATATTATTATAGATAACGTATTATTAGAATTTCAATATTATAGAAATAAATAGTATTTTAATTTTTAAATTATTATAACTCATTTTTAACTAGCCAAATTTGAAGGATTATCTTAAATAAATTTGATATAATAATATATAATGAATAAAATATTTAAATAAATAATCGAGAATATCTTCAATATTTATAGTAGATTCTAAATATTGTATATTTTAGACATAACTACTAAAATTAAAATATCATTGATAATAATCAATAGATAGTATTTCGCGTTTAAGTATTTGGACTGTCTGTATTATACTCAAATGAATAGCTATAATCATAATATTTAGTTAAATTTTATTAATTATAGTCAGACTAAAAAATTAAACAAATAGTTAGACGAACGATGATATTTTATTTTTAAATATTTTTTATTATCAGGAATTTATTTATCGTAATAGCAATCTTAATTATTTTGCATTTAATCCCGGTAGTTAACTGACCACATAACGACATATCTAAACATTCTATTATCAAGTTTTTTTCAGTTGATTCGAAAAATGTTTTAAAAGAAAGTAATAAATCTTGAACTTCTGGTTTTGAAAATTAATGATGAACATATCTAACTATTTGTTTGTTCTAGAGAAAGTGCGAACGAAATGTCACGTATCTTTTTTTATTACATAATTTAATATTTAATCAAGCTTTATCCAACTTTTTTCCTAATTTGTAATATAAATTCAAATAATTTGTCTTTTAAATGTTATATATCATAAATATGCATTGTTTTTTTTTGAAAATGTAAGTGCGTATATTAAATAGTTATATAAATAATATTTATACACAAAACATAGTATAAACGTATAACTGTACTTAAATTCTTAAAACTAAACTAACAGTTAAAATACGTAATCAAAGTATTCTTCTAGTCCTCTGTTCAAATGGTATGGCGTATGTAGATATGTTTCAAATCGATTTTCACTTATTTAGATTTAATTTTTTAAACGAAGTTACATAATATACACCTACCTAATTATAACTATTTCATCACTTGCGTACTTATATATAACCATATGAAATATAACTATTAAAATCGAATAAAGAAAATAATAAGTCTCTTATAATACGTTATTCTATGGAATAAAGAATAAACCATTACAAATTATTTGTCTGTCTACGTTGATCCGTCGTGTCCTTGACTTTGTATGCAACAAACACGACCACACTATAATATATCGTATTATATTATAAGATTATATACACACATAATACGAAAGATTTTGTTGACGATCGTAATAAATATAATAATAATTATAGTAGTACTAGTAGTAGTATAAATGATAATGATGAATCAAAAATTGTCTTGGAACTGGTTATGGTGTGAGAAAGTGGTCAACCTTAGGTTAACGCCGTACAGAGTGTACCTGTACAACACAGTTCAGCGACAGTACCCAAGCAAGTCGGTCACTGGTAGAATAAAGAATATTGCTTTCGAAAAATGACGTAAATATTTGTGTTTTATTTATTTTTTTATTTTTTCGTGATCTCGTAAACCAAAACTACAACGTAGGAATGGATTCTGCATTTAAAGTGATCGCAGTGACTGCATTTTACGTTTTCCCAATCGGTAAGTGTATATTTTATTAAATTATTTAAATAACAATGTTATTAGTCGTAATATTGAACTGAATACAGGTTATTTAAAAAACTGCAATTATTTATGAAGCAGATACTCGTGTCTATCTCGTATGCATATATTTTATGCATTACCACCTACATAGAGTTTATTAATAATTTTGCAAAGCCGGATATAATAGGATTATATATTGTATAACTTAAGTTTTAAAAAGCATAATTTTATTAATTTTATTAAATTTAAGTTTATATTAACTATATGCACTACAGGTTAAAATAATATTAGTGAATAATTTTAAGTACAATTTTTCTTTATCTATATATATATATGGATATTTATTAATATATTATACATTTTATGTACTTACTGTCTGTAATTTAATTATTTTTGATCAAAAACTAAATAAGCATGCTGATCATAATATTTCATTTAAACTACGGGCTTAATATTTTAATAATAGTTATATAAGCACGCATTTTTTAAATATTATAAGTGTAATGTCATGGTCATAAACGAAAGTCTGGATTTTTCAGTTAAATAACAAATTAATGTGTATTTAAAGTGTAAACCATTAAATTATATTTATGTTGAACATACCTAACTATTTAAAAATTTATTCTTTTAAAGAAATTTTAAATCAACATGAAACAAACTGAAAATATAAATGGGGTATACCTTTTTTTCTTGTCTTAATTAAAAAAATAATTTCAACTATTTTGAAATATTATTATTGTAGTATGATTCTAAAACTGAATAAACATTTATAAAATATGACATGTATTTCATTGAACTACATCAACTACATAATATCGTTGGCTTTTAAAATGTTCGACAGTTATACCAACATCAAACTTATAATTGATGAAGTTTAAAGTTGAAAAATAAATTAAATTATATTTATAAGCAATGGCATTTTTATATGAACAGATGAAATAAATTGAGATAAATCATTATTTAAATTGCAATTTATCTATTATTTTTAGTTCCCGGTGAATAAATTATAGACATATTTAAAACAATCCAGACATAAATTTTCAAAACGGAGACCGGATGTAGAATTATTAATTCACATATCGGTGCCAAATACTGAAATACTAGTGTATTAATATTATATGCTATCAATCATCGTATTCGTTACATGATTCTGAGCAACGTTCGATTAAATTTAAAAAACACCGTTAATTGATATATTTTTCATAGTTTTTGATGGTTTGGAAAAATACTGTCAAAATCATAAGGTAACTTAATCCACGTGTCAATTAATTTGTAACAACAAATAGATAGAGAGATGTCTGAAAAATGTAAGAAAAAATAAAATAAAATGTTTTTATAAGTCCAATGAATATTACTCTCTTTACTGGAATTATTAAATTATAAATTATTCGATGTTTAAGAAATAAATATTTGTTTAATATGCATTAAAAAGTCACTTACTTTAAATTAGTTACTATCAATTATTTTATATTAGGAGAAATTGGTTGTAAATCTTAACAAGCTTACAATTGGTAAAAGTGAAATCAGTGAAACCGATTTCAAATAACAATAATTAGTGATAATTTATAAATGCTGGAAAATATAAAACATGATCATCAAATAAATATTTTAGTATTTTTATACATACGTATGCGCACAGGTTTTATATAAAAAAAACAATGATTTATTCATTTTCAAAGCTGAAAATTTCAAACATTATTGTATTGAAATTAATATTCGGCCTTACTGTGAAAGCGTAACATTTCAATTCATCTTTTTAAATGTCGATTATGTGTATATACACATGGTCTACTATCACTTCCCACAATACCTTCTCACACATCGTTATGTAATTATTATTCTTGAAGGATAATAATAATAAAAAAAACGTATGTGGAGTTTTTAATAATTATAATATAATATTATGCTAAGGTCGCTAAAGAACGTTGAACTTTATTAGACATTCTCAGGACATGCTGCACAAATTTAATTTAGATTAGCTCTACTATTCCTGCAATAAATTGTAACTTGATTGTTTAATTATAAAGAAATATAGAATAGAATTCGAGCACATATTTATAGATAACTGTACCTATAGATCTATAGCTAATCCAAATGTTTGCATAGTTTTGATTTTAATATTATATTATATGTTGTATTTCTGAATAATAATGATTTATTTTTAACAAATTTACAATAAAAGTTAAGTACATAAAACGACAAACCTAGCATTAAATTATGTAAAGTTTTTACTCGAGAAATTTATATTTCTATAATAATTATACATAAATCGATTTTAATTTATGACTCACAATTGTTTTATACCGCCTGAATGTATTAAAATTAATATGGTCACAAACTCACAAATAACCATTACCTGTATTTATTGCTTTTGTGATTTCACATCGAATTTAATAAAAATATAATATTTAAATTAATTCCTAGAAAAGATGCTTAACTAAATTTTTATTTGAGACTAATGCAAATTGTTTACCTTGATCGGTTTTTATTTTATCATAATATCATAACAGGTTTATTTTAATTATTTTTGATAAGTTTTCTTTTTACGTTTATAAATCTAAAACTGTATATTATTTTGAACTTATTTATCTTCATATTTTTTATTCTAATACAAAAAATATTGTGAACGAAAATAACCTTGGAACTTATTACAAACCTATAAAATATTTATCATAATTTTAAAATAATTATTAAATACCATAATGTTATGTAATTTTTCGTATTTAAATAGGTACAAAAATACGACAATAAGACATTAATACTTAATAAATACTTTATACCCTTATATGTTATAATAATTATATAATATAATTAATATTTTGAAATTTATTTTTAGTGTTATGTGAAACTACCGGAGAAACTTTTGTTTGCCCTGAAGTCGGTGGAAATGGAAACTATGCTGATCCAGCCACATGTCGTCGATTTTATCAGGTATTTTTAACATTTGATTGTACTAATGTCTATATATTTTTTAAACTCAATAACATTTTCAGTGTGTAGATAATTTTCCATACTTAAATCGTTGTCCTGCTGGTTTATACTTTGATGATGTTAACAAATTATGTACATTTAAAAATGAAGCCCGATGTGGACCTCTTCCTACAAGTAAGGTTTTATTCATATTAGGTAGCATTTATTACATTACTAACATATATCATGATTTGATTTAGCTGAAGCTCCAAGTACAGAGAA